TAAGTAATCTAACTACTTTCAATAGCAAGTTCAGCTGGTAATTTCAAGAAAAGCAGTTTTGAACTGGTAATGATATTTCCTTGAAACATAAAGCCTAGAAACAGGTTAGTATTCTGTTCAAATAGTAGGTACATAAACCTATTGACAGCTCAAGACAGGACAAAAATCCTTAAAAGCAGACAACAAAGCTTAGAAGAAAAGCAGTAATATTTTAGTCAAGTCACAGAATGTTGTTTCATCAGTTCAGTCTCATGTACTTAATCTTTCTTCTGTTGTGGTTCGATCTTCCAGATTGAATTCTGGGATATAATATTCAACTCCAGACTTTGTCCCTACACTTAAGTTGCCCATTTTCTTAGTTTTTGAACTCTTATTTCTGTGTGTCTGCATTTAATTTTACTGACATAGCACTCCCTTAAGAACTTCTTGGATTACATTAAATTGTATAGGTCAAATATCATAGGTTATTCAACAGCTAAATCATCGAAGATGAAAAAGGATTGGGGGTAGGGGGATCTTTGGAGGAAAAGAGACTTACACTCTTCAAAAGTGCCAGGGTCGGGAAAGAGGAAAAAAAGACTGAAAAACTGTCACAGACTAGAGGAAACAAGATGATTAAATGTAACATGGTATCCCAGATACTAAAGGGATCCTGGAACAAAAATTCCCAGCCACAATGGTATAGAAAGTTGGATGCTGCTTCATAATCTGAGAGTCCTATGTGAGGCCTAAGTTCAGATTGTAGGTTGACCTGAAGGCTCTAGACTGAATGGAAGACTAAGAAGATCACTTCATGGTAGATCCAATTAAGGACATCTCTCTTGCTCTCTCAAAATAAGTAAAATAAACTTTTTTTTTAAAAGATAAAGGAACTGGCACGTGGTATAGTGATTAAGATACTGGATCTCACATGGCCAACTGCATGGTTAGAGTCCCAAACCTGGCAACTTGAAAAACACACTGGGTGTATGTGCATGCAAGCCCAAAATCCAGAGAGAGGAGACTGGAAGAAAAGGGATTGAGGCATGGCCATCCCCTCTTGGGGGTGCTTTCTTTTTCTCTCTCTCTTGCATGCCCCTATAACAATTTAAAAAAAAAAAAGAAATGAAATAAAAAGAATATAGACATTAGCAGAAAAACTGATGCAATCTGAGGAAAGCCTGGTGCTTGGTTAATAAAATGTACCCACATTGGTTTCATAGCTGTGGAAAATATATCATGGTTACATGAAGAGAAAGCTAGGTGAAGAGTATAGGGTATTATTTTGGTAACTCTTCCATATATCTAAATTTATTCTAAAATAAAACATAAAGAGAGAGAGAGAGAGAGAACTTAAAGAACACATCAAAAGTTTAAATGAGCAAGAATAAACCATAGTCATTAGGGAAGTACATTTCAATAAGAACACCATAGAGATGCAAGGGAAAGATAACTGTAAATGTCAGAATAATGGTTACTTTGGGAAGTGGAGGAGGGTTATGATTGGTAAGGGGTACATGGAGAGGGCTCTAGGGTAGATAGAAAAGTTCTATTTCTTCACCCAGTGGTGGTTAAAGATGTTTGTCTTATAATAATGCATTAAGCCACACAGTCATTTTAAGTAGTTTCTGTATCTAGGTTCTATTTTACAATGAGAGAGAAAAAAACTTAAGAGATATAGCATCCAAATATAATCAGCGGACCTCTTTTGGATCTTAATTCAAGATAATCAACTAAAAAAAAGATATTTGAACATGATCTGGGTATTAGATATTGTTAGGGTGATAGTGGCATTGCTATGTTATATTTTCGTAGATGCATAGTGAAGTATCCAGGAGTAAAGTGACATCATGTCTTAGAATTGCTTCAAAATACTCCAAGCCAAAAAGAAAAAGTGTAGAAAAATAGATAAAACAAGTATGGCAAAATTTTAGTAGCTGTTGAAGATGAACATGAAGACAAAAATTTGTTGTATCCTCTAGTTTTGTGTATGTTTGGGGACATTTTTTAAAATAATTTTTGAAATAATTGTTTTATTTAACTTTATGTATGTATGTATGTATGTATGTATTTTAATCTGACTAGAGAGGGACAGAGTGAGAGAGAGAGGGAAAGTGATAAAGCAAGTCGCCAGGTCCAGGACTCAAACTGTGGTCGGCCATGTGGGAGTCCAGCACCCTTAACCACCATGCCACCTGCTGGCCCCTGGAAATTTTTATCATAAAGACTTAAGGGGGTGGTGGACAGCCCTGAACCAAGTTGCTTAAGGGTAACAGAGACCTAATTCCAGGAGGTCCCCATCCCACGTACTTCTGGAACTAGTAGAAAGGCTACTAGTCATCTCCCTAAAGTCACACTCCCTGAGCAGTCTGGGAGGAGCATATCCCCTTTCTGGGTCTCTGAGTCACTCAGACAAGACAGCAGCAATTTTTACCTTTCTCCATCCTGATGACCTAATGAGGCCAAGAAGGAGAGCCAAAGGGCAAACAGGATGGGCCAGGCCTGATAGGACAGCAAAGGGCACTTCAGAGCCTGCCCTCTGCAGTGGGTGGGGGGTGGAGAGTAGTGGATAGGAGGGGAGAGGGCAGGTGTAAACTCCTCATAGTTACATGAAGTCACTATTGAGCTAGCTTCCAGAACCTGGTGGAACCTCTGGTTGTAACACTGTTCTAGGATATTTGTCTCCCTCAAGTTCCCGAGCATCATGCCTCATTCCAAGCAGCCCAAGCACTTCCAGAGTCTGATGCTTCTGCAATGGCCCTTGAGCTACCTCGCCATCTGTGAGTATCAACCCAAGAGAACACAGAGAGAAGCAAGAGTCAGAGGCCCTGGTCAGATCTAGGGTGATTTTGGTGGTCATGAGACATCCCATCTCTGAACTTTAGATCATCTGAGATGGTACTAGCAAGTAAAGTCAAGTAGTCTTGAGTTCCGTAAGTGCTCTGGAGAAGGAAGTGGTAGAGATCAGGGGACAGTGAAAACAGGCAGGGGGCAGAACAGGATCATAATAATGGATATGAGTAGATCTAGTTAATTTCAGCCACTTCCTAACCCTCACTCTTTAAAGAGGGAAAATGATGTCTAGGAGTGGGTCAGAGGAAACAACACTATAGGCTTGGAAAAGTAGAGCCTGTGTTTGAACCCTAGTGCTTTTTATTCTAGGAAAGGGGTCGTGGTAGCATAGGGGCAGATAGAGGTGATGGCAGGAATGGTGAATGGGCAAGAAGACCAGAATGGTGGATAAGAAACGGAACAGGGATGCAGATGCTAGATGGGCAAGGTATAGGAGGATACGGATAGTACAGGAGAAAGGGGGTGGGCTAATGGCTTAACATGAGTTCAAGGATGACGGACAGGAAGGAAGACTGGAAATAAGAGGGGAAATATGACAAATGAATAGGGGCAGGAGTACAAAAAGCTGGTGGCAGGCAGAGCAGGAGTAGAGCTATGGTGGCTAGGCAGGAAGGCAGATGACAGGGATGACAGTCAAAGAGACATAAGGTTTGTGTCTGATAGATGATCAAGGAAATTTTTGAAGGACAAGTGGACATGGATGATGGATAGGAAGAACCTGGATTATGCTGAGGGCCAGGACTAGAGGCTTGGGTAGTGCAGAGAGCAGGTAATAGGACTGGGCATGGTCAAGTTTTACTGGCAGCACAAATTCGGTTTGACCCAATCCTCTGTTAGTTTGGATCTTGCAGCCATTATTGGTTTACCTGCTGTTTACATCCTGGTGGCCGCTACCAGCACTTTACTTTGCCTGGCTTTTCTTGGACTGGAAGACCCCAGAGAAAGGTAAGGCTCATGGATCTATAAAGAAGAATCCTCCACCTAAACATGCAACCAGGGAGTCCCACTCAACATGCCAAATCCCTCACCACCAAGTTCTCGGAGTCACAGGAGATGGACCAAACAGGATTATCCTTGAGGTCTCTTTTTTTTCCACCTCTCTAGGAGAGCCATGTTCCCTAAGGAAAGTCCTAAATGTGGGGGAGGTATGGGGTGGCACATACTGACACCATCTCCTACTGATATTTTTATCTCAGGTGGCAGGCGTTCAGCCTGGGTAAGGAACTGGTGTGTTTGGACCCACATCAGAGACTATTTCCCCATTACGGTAAGTGTTTCTTCCCCAGTGTCCCTCCAGTTTCCAAAATACTAGGCATTTATATCAAAGGACTGGGGTTGTCCATAAGGAAAATGAGTATCTCAGAAAAATGCAGTTAATTTACTTCGGGATGTAATATTTCTTTTTCTTTAGAAGTATTTTTTCTATTTATTTTATACATTCAATGTTACTTGGCTTAAAAAGTGAATATTCCAACATGTGTACACTTCTCACCAGTCTAGTTGACAATACTATAAAGTTATCTTCAACAGATAATAATCCATTTCTTTGTCTCATAAATGCCTTGCCTCTCTATTTTTCTCCTTAGTGTCCTTCCTCAGACTTTACTCCTTCACCCACCCTCTTACCAACGATGTAATATTTCTACTGAGCACTCTGCTTGGGCTTTGGACACCTTTGGCTTGATCTGCAGGTGACACAGGCAGATGGCAGACACAGTTCAGTTCAGTTTCATAAACATTGATTGAAAGCCTACTGCAAACCACACACCTAGGGGACAGAAGCGTGAATAGAACACAATTCTCTACCATCAAGAAGTTCATATCTAATGGGAAAGACAGACAAGTAGATAATTATAGTTTGATACAAGGCACAGAAGTATTGGGTGTTCAGAAAAGTCATGACACATTCTTGCATAGAAAAACAAAAATACATCATGACTTTTCCCAACAACCCAATAGTTCAGATGGGGGATATGAGGAGAGGTTGCAAAAGCATGGTGATATCTTAGCAGGGTTCTCAGCATTGAATAAAAGTTACTTAAACTGCACACCAGCAGATGGCATAAGGGTTACATTGCTGGACTCCCACATGGTTGATAGCAGTTTGAGTCCCAGACCTGGATGCTTGAAACACACACCAGGCACGTGTGCATGCGTACCAAAAATCCCGAGAGGAGAAAGGAGGAGAAGGGATTGCAGTGTGGCCATACCCTTCGGGGTGTGATTTCTTGCTTTCTGCCTCTCTCTCTCTCTGTCTCTAGTAAGCTCACACACCCTATAGCAAAAATCTCTCCAAAAAAAAAGTTACTTAAATAAGCACTGGAAGAGTGTTGGGGTAGTTAATACCAGGAAGAGATTCCAAAGATGTGCTTCTATTCTGATCCTTCTTTGAAATAGACAACAAATGCTGCCCTGATTTTTAACCTTTTTCACATAACAATGCTCATACAGGGAGCCAGGAGGTGGTGTGGTGGTTGAGGTGCTGGATTCCCACATGACTGACCACAGTTCAAGTCCTGGACCTGGCAGCTTGATTTCCTGTTTTCCCTCTCTCTCTGTCTCTCTCCGGTAAAATTAAAAATAATAGTAATAATAAATACAATTTTAAAGAAATATTTCTTTAAGAAAACAATGTCCATACAAGGATCAGCATAGCAATGTGCTTTGTCAACTAAAAACTGGGGGGGCAATGTTTGTTGTCTGCTCCACATTGACATAGATGGCCAAGATTACTTGCAGCCATAGGCAAGAAGCATAGCAGATCCTCCCTTGTTACCCAGAGGTAGAGGAGACCAATATCTTGGCCCCTTGAAACCCACTCATGATTTATGTGTTGGAACACTGCTTGAGAGAACACCCTGATACTCAAAGTGGCTTCATACTGTGATCTCCTGCAACCCCATGTGATCTCATTCCACAACTTCTGGCATTTCTCTCCATGGCTGCAGATCCTGAAGACCAAAGACCTGCCACCTGAGCACAACTACCTCATGGGGGTTCACCCCCATGGCCTCCTGACTTTTGGTGCCTTCTGCAACTTCTGCACTGAAGCCACAGGCTTTTCAAAGACCTTCCCAGGCATCACTCCTCACCTGGCCACGCTGTCCTGGTTCTTCAAGATCCCCATTGTTAGAGACTACCTCATGGCCAAAGGTGCTTCTGACCATACTTATATGAGCTTCCGATCTATTTCTCTACTTAGAAGTACACCCTTTTAAGCCCCATCCCCTCCTCCTCCCACATCTTCCCCCATCATCATAGCTTTGCAGTCAAAAACATACATTCTGGAGTTAAACTGCTTGGGTATGAATGCTGGCTCTGCCATTTGCTGCATGGTCTTGGGTAAACCAGCTAATCTTTACTGGCCTCAGTTTCTTCATCTGTTAAGTGGCGTTTATGATGATAGTCTAACCTCAGATATGGTATGATGACTAAATTAAAAAATGTAAGTAAAGCATTCAACATAATGCCTGCTACAGAGTATGTGCTCAATAAATAATAGCTGTTGCTATTAACAGAAAAAGAAAGGGTAGCATGTATAGTTGAGATTCAGAAAGTCCTTTTGGTTATTCCACTGAAAGACTTACTATTATAGTTTCGACTTAGTGCTTCCTGCAAAGTGAAGATATTGCCTGAAAGTGAAATGTTTTCTGTTGGTCCACATCCTTCTCATCTCCACATTTTATAGTTCCCTCTCATTGACCCTCTCCTCCTATAACCCATGGCAACAGAGGGCACACAAACAAACCAGTGAAGAGCAGAGAGAAAGGTGTTCCTCAGTCATTTTCTTCTCTCTTGATCATTTTGCTCCTCTCTGTGCTCCTTGATTCTCTTCAGGTGTGTGTTCCGTGAGTCAGCCAGCAATTGACTACCTGCTGAGCCATGGCACTGGCAACCTTGTGGGCATTGTAGTGGGAGGTGTGGGAGAGGCCTTGCAAAGCGTGCCCAACGCCACCACCCTCATCCTCCAGAAGCGTAAGGGGTTTGTGCGCACAGCCCTCCAACACGGGTAGGTGTTCCTTCCAGGAGAGGAGTGGGTGACCTTCTCTAAGAAGCATGACCCAGTAGGTGATGCCAAGATGAATCAGACACAAGTTTCACCCTCAGGGAACTTACAATTGAGTAGGAGAAATGGGCATAGAATTTCAGGAAGGTTTAAATCATCTGTTCCTTCTGAGCTAGATGGACCAGTTCCCAGGAAACCAAATGGTAAACCCAGGTTCAGTAGCAGGGAAGATTGAGCTATGATGGCTCTAGTTTATAGATGATCCTCACATGATCTCTATTAATACAGATATCGATATCTGTCTGCTAATAGTTAAGTGCAAGAGGCAGTCCCACATGGTGAGTATGAGTGCAGGATCTGAAGTCAGAGCCTGATTGAAAATCCTGGACTCCATGACTTACCACGTGACCGGAGACAGGTCACTTCACTATTCTGAGACTTGGTATTTTCTTCTTTATAATGTGGCCACCAATAATTGTATCTACTATGTGGGGATGATTGTAGACTTTAAATGAATTCAACCACAATAAGCACCTACCTATGCCTGGCACACAGTAAGAGATCAATGAATGTGAGTCACTCTGACTTAAGGATGAAGAACAAAAGCCCAAGGCTGGAGCTGCTGGATGTCCCATCAGGTCAACAGTCCAGCTTACTGGACACAGGGACAATTGTCCTATTGCAGACTCAGAGAACAGGAGAGTATTTCTTCTAAGGACCTTGCCTGAAAGGCCTGTTATCAGTTTGGAGCATAATGTAGGGAGAGCTCTAAGCTGGGAGGAAGGGCTTCTGGGTTCTAGTCAAGGTCCTACTATTCACTGACTCTCTCAGTGACTTTCAGCCATCTAAACCTGGGCTTCTGAATTTCCCCACTGTATCCTCTGCTGTCTTCAAGGGAAAGAACCAATAAGGTCGCTTGTGTCAATATGCAGGGAGATTGTTATGAGCAACTCCTAAAGATTCATACAAGAGTGACTGAGTTCTCTTTTCTCACTTAAGGAACTCAAGGGGCCTGATTCTCTACCTAGGGCACTATTCCAAGTAGATTCCCATAGTCTGTGAAAAGGAAACAATTTTTCTCTGCTCTAATCCCATGCCCCAAGAACAGAATACCTTAGACATAGCTCTCTTGAGTGATGGGCATATCATATACATACAGCTGTGCAAAATTATTATCACCTTCTCTGTGCATTCAACTAAAAGGAACAGAATCAGATATTCCCCTCTTTGATACTTCTTGGAAGGTTTTCATGATGTGAGACTTTGAGGATCTCTGTCCAATTTTGTTCCCTCCTTTTGCCCCCATATCTTGCCCTTGTTATCTTGGCTCAAAGGTAGCATTCTCACTGGCTTTGAAAATTACAGGACAAGGGGTCAGCAGGTTAAATACTGGTTGGAGTGTTGGACTCCCACATGGCCAACGGCGGTGCAAGTCCCAGCCAGAGGCTTGAAACTCACACTGGGTGCATGTGTGTGTGTGCCCAAAATCCCAAGAAGAGAATGGAGGAGAAGGGACTGTGGAGTGGCCATCTCCCCTTGGGGTGATTTCTCACTTTCTTTCCCTCTGTCTCTCTTTGTCTCTCTGGTGAGTGCACATGCCCTACAGCAAAAGACCTCTGAAAAAAATGAAAATTTTAGGACAAGAGACACTAAATGGGGGAGCCTGTTTAATGCAAGAAAATAAGTTTTATGCCACAGGGATTTTATCATAATATATAAACATGAACAAATGTTCTTCCATGGTGGTTCCAACCATAGACTATATTTGAGAAATAACTCATGGTTTTCCTACAGGGCTCATCTGGTCCCCACCTTCACTTTTGGAGAAACCGAGGTATATGAGCAGGTGCTGTTCCATAAAGACAGCAAGATGTACAAGTTTCAAAACTGTTTCCGCCGCATTGTTGGTTTCTATTTTTGTGTCTTCTATGGACGAGGTTTCTGTCAAGGCTCCATTGGACTCCTGCCGTACTCCCAGCCTATTGTCACCATAGGTGAGTGCAACTCTCAGCCTCAAGGCCACCTCAGCCTTTTCTCAACCTTAGTCTCAGCCCTCCCTACTCATCCTCCACTAAAGAAGAGAGCAGCAGAAGGGTAGAAGCTAGAAGGTGACATGGGATTACAGAGGGTCTGCTCCAGGGGAGAAGGAGGTTAAAGGAAGAGGAGAATCTAACACCCTTTCCTTCTCTTTTCCCATCTCATTTGACAGTTGGAGAGCCTCTCCCACTGCCCAAAATTGAAAATCCAAGCCAGGAGATGGTGGACAAATACCATACACTCTATATGGCTGCCCTGCATAAACTGTTTGATCAGCATAAGACACAGTATGGCCACTCAGAGACCCAGAAACTGCTTTTCCTGTGAAAGGACTACATGACCAAAGGCAAAGAAGCACTGTCTTGGAGAAGAAACTCACCTGCCATTTACCATCTTTGGGGAAGATGGGGAGAGGCTGTGTGTGGTAGGGGAGGGTGTTAGGAATTCCTTCCTTGCAACTCTCGCAGGAGTTCTACATGAGGAACATTCCTCAATCATTCATCAAAGGGGAGACTTACTCCCCCAGGGTTTTCATCTCTGAACTTGACACCCCAGGTCCTAAAGGACCCTTGAAGGACTCAAATGATGGCCAAGCAGCCACCACTCCATTACTCCACTTTTCATTTTTAGTCTTAGTTACAATTTTTAAATTGAGGTGTAATTTATATACCATAAATTTTACTTGTTAAACGTGTAAAATTCAATAGTGTTTAGTATATTTACTGAGTTGCGCTATCACCACCAGTATCTAAATTTTGTATTGTTTTTCAGCACTCCTGAAACAAACCCAGTACACATTAGAAGTCTCTGCCCATTTCCCCATCTTCCCCCAGCCCCTGATACAAATGTCTCTTCTTTCAAAAGGTAACCAATAAGAGACACACTTAAAAACACAGCAAATGACCAAAAGTTAAAAACCTACTTGCTATCTCTATTGATTTTCCAGTGATGAACAGTTCATGTAAATGAAATTATATAAGATGTGGTCTTTTGTGACAGTTTCTTTTTCTTAGCATGTTTTCAAGACTCATTCATATCACAGCAAGTATCAGTACTTCATCCTTTTTCATGACTGAGTAATATTTCATTGTGCATATATGCCACATTGAGTTTATCCATTCACTTGTTGATGGACATTGGATTGTTTCCACTTTTTAGCTATTATGAATAATGCTGTCTTAAACATTCATGTACAAGTTTTTCTTTAGTAATCTGCTGTCCTCAAATATAAATGCTTACTTTCTGCCCACACCACTACCAAGCACATCTTTAGGATAGATAGAGGTCTTACTCAGGGTCATTTTTCAGTTAACATAGGTATCTCTGATAGGTCACTTGGATCTAATAATGATCCTTTGACTTCATAATCCTAAGGTTTTTGCAGCCATCCTGATAGCCTATTGTGGGAATTCACTTGATGTCTATGTTTTAAATCCATACTAAATTTAGTTTAAAAGTTTTTCTGAGGGAACCAGCAGTTAGCGTAATGGCTATGTCGCTGGATTCCCACGTAGTCGACCGCGGTTCGTGTCCTGGACCCGGTGGCTTGAAACTCACGCCGGGCGCGTGTGCGTGCGTGCCCAAGATCCCGAGAGGAGAATGGAGGAGAAGGGATTGCGGCGTGACCATCCCCCCTGGGGGGTGATTTCTTGCTTTCTGTCTCTATGTCTCTCTCTGTCTGTCTGGCGAGCGCACGCGCCCTACAGTGAAAATCTCTCCAAAAAAAAAAAAAAAGTTTTTCTGAAAGTTGTATTCCAATAATTTAAAAAGAGTAAATGAAAATGCAAATATCTCTTCTTTTAAAAGGCAACCACTAAGAGACACACTTAAAAACATGGCAAATGACCAAAAGTTAAAGACCCACTCAGACTACTAGCCTTTTTTTCCTTTGGTTTACCCTTAAATAGTGGGTCTTGGTGGGGTCCCATCCTATTTGCTCACTTTACACTGTTTCCAGTTTGAAATATCTATTTCTAACTCAGATAATTTTTATAAACAACAGCCCAATATATCCAATTTACCAATCTCCAACAAGAACCTTAACCTCACTACAAGTCAAATTATCTTCCTTCTCCCAACCTCACATCTTATCACCAAGTCCTATCAATTTCACCACTTTCAAATTAATCCATGGGGGTGGCAGCAGGTGGCATGGTGGTTAAAGCACTGGGTTCCCAAGGCCAACCACTGTTCGAGTTCTGGACCTGGCAGCTTGCTTTCTCATTCTCTCTCCCTCTCTCTCTCTCTCTCTCTCTCTCTCTCTCTCTCTCTCTCGTGTGTGTGTAAGGAAAAGGTAGTTTATTAAGTAAAAGTACACTCCTGAGAGGTAGGAGCAGGCCTGAGCTGATAAAGAAAGAGTGGTTCAAAAGGCCCCAGCAATTGATTCTGCCAATTTATCATTTTTAACCTAGGTCATGTGGGTTGAGCATTGGCTGGGCCCACTAATTATTCTCATGCCATTGGCTCTATCAGATGTGGCTGGGCCCACTGATTTCTCATTGACTATTTCATAAGTGTCTGGGCCCACAGATTTATCTCATTGGCTATATTAAATGTTGCTTAATCAGCTAGACACCCCCCCACACACACACACACACATACTATTCTCCTGCCTACATTACCTTGAGCAGGAAGTTTTCTGCCTTGATGTTTTTTTTTTTTTCTATATTTAGCTACATGGACAGATGCTCCAGCACCCTTACCCGCTTTCATTTGCTAGCTTTCTCCTGCCTCATTTTCCCCTTGAGAGGTGTGATCCCCATAAGTCTTTTGGGGAACTGAAGGTCTGTCTTCTGTAACTGGGTCATACTGGAAAGGGGCATTGACTCTACCTACTGGGGATCATGGAACTCTCACCCTACCTGATCTAGGAGTAGATAGGGGCCAGGGCCAGTCCGTTGAAATAGTCCTGAGGTGTGTCATGAAGAGGGCTATGAAGAGGGATATTTTTAGTGTTGGATGACTCACAGTAGGATTAAGTGGAGGTTCCAAGTGGTTGATATCCTTGTCATATGGTCATTTGCAAATTTACAGCTTCTAAGTAAGAAGAGATAAACTTGGTTAGGAGATTTAAGACACAGGGCCCAAAAAATAGAGTGAGAATTAGCATTAATTGGGGTCCCAAGAAAAGCAACAATCAAAGGAAATAGTTTTAGAATTTTAACCAGATTCCCTATGAATCCGACAAATGCTGTTGGATTTGTGAAGCAGTATGATTGCAGAGGACTGGTCTAAGTTACCCAGTGGTCATCTTTGAGTTGTATTACATTTTTAACACATATGAGTGCCTAGAATTTTAAAGGAATAGTTACTATTGTAGGTCTCAAACTTGGGCTCCCAGTGAGGCCACAGTTGCTAAATTCCATTGGAAGGTTTTGAGAAGATTAACTATCCTTTTTACCAGTGTGTTCTTAGCCCATTTAGTTATTTGAAAATCCTGTAAGTGCTGCATATTTATTAACTGGGTATGTGGACCTCTCATATTTAGAATGAAGAGCCATTGCACTAGCCAAATAGAAATAGGAACAGCTGTGTATTGCACTGAGGATGAGGATAAACAAAACCAGCAGTCCTTAGTCAAATTTGGGTTGGAAACCTTAGGTCTTAGATGATCCTGTATTTCTTAGTTGACTTAAGTACTGGTAGTATTAAGTATTGCAGGGGGACTGACAAGGCTTTAGTAGCCCAAATTTAAACAATACTTTTACAATGGGTTTAAGTCCTTTTTTAACTTCAGGTCTTACTGGGTATTGTTTATAATGGGGGAATTTGGAAGGATCCTTAAGTTGTATTTTTACAGCAGATGCTGTTATAGCCCTTTCTGGTTGTCTATAGCACCAGGCCAGAGGTCAGTTTTATCATATATGTGGCTTTGTACCCCGTTAGAATCTTGAATGATCATAATCCTTGGAGTTTTAAATGTAAAGGATGGGTGGTCCCCAGCTTAGCAAGTATATATTTTTCCATAAGGGGGACTGGGAAGCTAGGAACTATTAGAAATTTTTGTGAGAATACTTGGCTCTCTAATTAGAATACCAAGGAAGGGGTGAAATAACTTAAAATATTTCTTCCCTCCATTCCCATAATTTCCATGGTTCATAAGGAAGCCCTTCCTGAAAAATAAGGGAGAACAGAGTCAGTAGTCCTTGTATTTAAAAGAAATGAAAGTGGCTTACTCATGATGTCCAGAGTTACCCAGGGTTCCTCAATGGTTATGATTACTTCTCCAGACAGGGGCACAGAGGATTTCCCTGGGCTTCCTCAGTCATTGAGTTCTTACCCTTGGCTCATGAGGACCTTGTCTGGCCATTACCCCTCTTCAGGAAAGCAGACAGTCAACCCTCCAGTTCCAGGGATCATTTCCCATAACATGACATTGACAGCAGGGCCCAGGAAGTGACTGGGTACATTCTCTTTCCCAGTGTCTGGTCTCTAGCAGTTGAAGCAGAAGTCTGTAGGTTTCTCTCTCTGGTTTTTGGATAAACTCTTGAAGGGTCTACAGGTATCAAGGGCTTTGCCAATTGGGACAACCATAAACCTGGCTTGTTTTGTTTTATTTTGTTCTTTTCTCCCCTCCTTGAGATCCCAATTATTAAATGCCATGAAGGCAGTATCAAGTAATAGAGACTAATTGGGTGTGTGTGTGTGGGGTCCCATTTGTAGCTTTTGGAGTTTTTGCCTGATATCAGGGGCAGATTGGCTAATGAAGTATTATCCCAAAAGAGCTCTTCCCTCTGGAGAAGTAGGATCTAGATTAGTATATTTTTTAAAGCTTTCTTCTAACATGTCACAGAAGGTGGTTGAGTTTTCTTAGTCTGTACAATTATTTTAAGTTTATTATAATTTATAGGCTTTTGTATCCCATCCCATATTAGTAATGCATTTGGTCCCCAGGACCATTCCTGCCAAGAGTGCCTCTAAGAATTTACCTCTCTGGTTTATCCCCATTGGGGTTTTAGAATCCCATTTAGGGTCAGTTATGGGGACAGTCTCTTCCTGGAAAATTTCCTTATGGGGTATTAGCAAATGCCAGGATCTGATTCCTTGCATGCTGCACTTAAAAATTTTTTTTTTCTCAGTAGGTGTAAAACAGGTAACCAGAATGAACTGCACATCCCTCCAAGAGAGGTCGAAAGCCAGGGTCAGTGTCTGGAACCCATCAGTAAACGATTAGGGTTCTCAGAATATTTGCCCAACTTTTCTCTGCATTGTTGAATATCAGCAATGGCAAAGGGGACTTGGACTCTGACTGGGCTTTCTTGTCTAGCTATTTCCCTGAAGGAGAAGAGGGTCCTCCTTTGACTATGTCATGGACTGAAGCATTGATT